AGATAGCCAAATTAATGGAAGGCTTTACTTTGAAACCGTACGTTCCTGACTGATATTGGCGACCAGATTGACCCATATCAGTTTGCGCTAATTGCGATGAAAGGCCGTTCTACAACACATGGATTAGTCTTTTTGCTGCATAATGTCTTGGAGACCCTTGACCAAAGTAGTTCCTCGGCTCGCGTATTTTTCGCTGACTTTAGTAAAGGTTTGGATTTAGTTGATCACGTGTCCCAATTGCTGAATTATAGAAATTGAATGTACGCCCCGCTGTAGTGGGATGGATTCGAGCCTTTCTCACGAGAAGAAAACAGTGTGTTCGCATTCGAGATAAGATGTCCTTGTTTAAGTGTTTTAATGGAAGTATATACCTTAAAGTACCAAACTAGGCCCTATCCTATTTGCGGTTCTGGTAAATAAATAGTCTACTTGGCGAGTGGAATTCGAATTTTAGAATAAAATTCGTGTACGATCTAACAACTATCGAATTTATCCCAAGATGTTCACCCAGCAGATTGGACCGAACGTGACCTAGCGCGAATGACTCCGGAAGCAAGAGAGGATTATGAACGTTTTATATTGAGCGATAGACCGAAATATATTCCAATAAAGCCGGAAAAACTTGCAAAGTTATCCCCAGAAGATAGACAAGAACATGAGAACTCTTTAAAAATAACAAAAACACCTAGACGTTACGTTCTTAGAAGTAGACCTTACTAAATTTTGTAAAACATTTTGAGAAATAAATATATTCTAAAACTGAAATATTTTGCAAACATTTACTTGCAAAGCCCGCTCTTTCCGTCCGCGCGATTTGTCTAACCCGCCCGCCTGATCCGTGTACAAATATGTTGTACTTTAATATATGCATGCACCCGCAAAACCACGCGCCTGATTTTAAGGTATACACCGGCGTTAAAAATAATCCCTATCTATCCATCGGGATACACTTAGTTTTGCAAATTCGTATTACATTAATCCCCTTAATTACCTACACGCCTCCTAATGACTTAGCAGCACATAACAACGTATATAGCTACCGCATATTTGATAAAAAATATTTATTTTTTATGGCAAAATATGTTACAACTCTTCTAATTCTAACTTCTACTCTTGATAAGCTTTCTTGTGATCTGACTCGGTCATCTTGTAACAGTATGTAGGAGGTTTGCTAAATAATGTTGGACAACATGCAAATATTGACCACATCAGCTACCCAAAAGACCTCCAGTAAGAGTGTTGTCAAATGCAGAACTATGCTTGTTACAAGACGCTTGTCGATTTTATACAGACACTCGAATAAAAGTTCATAGTAAGCCAATCCTAATCCCTCTATTGTAACAAACACGTGGAGGAACGCTAAAAAATGCCTACTCAGCAAGTTTCACCCGATCTTGCCCAAGCTCGCCCGCGTGACGTCATTACTTGCCTGACCTGCCCACCGGACATTATTGCATGTAATTATGACGTATGCTAATGATGATGCGCCGCCCCGCGCCGCCCCAAAAATCCGGGTCGAACGGCCTCTATATTACTACTCACCTAAGAGTAGTTTCATACGCGAATCCTGTTTTGTACGTCGTTATTGTAACCGTAGCAAAACCACAATAATATGATCAGAAATTTTCCCAAGATGCCGCACGAATCATTGTTTTCAGATAATATATTTTACTTTCAAATGAAACAAACTAAATTTTTATCGCCATATTTTTAAACATACACAAAGTGTTTGTTTTTGTCGAATATTTTGATACAAAGTCGCGCTAAACTGGTTCTTACAAGGCTTTTTTCTACTCATCCAAAAAAACGACTCGCAAGCCCGCGAGTGTTTGAGTCTAATTAAAATAGACTGTTGAGCATTGTGATTAGATGAGAAGACTCGCCGGAAGCTAGCGGGTTGACTCTTGCGATGAGTAGAAACGAGGAATTTAAGTGGGAAAATTATTTATTAGGAAAGTTAAGAATTATGGCAGTATGAAAAAAAAAACACTTGTAAAATAATAAAAAGCAGAAATACGAATGACTTTGAAGCGCATGCAATGATAACCAATTTGTGTATATAAAAATGTATTTAACCAAATGGGACTATAGGTTACAAGTATTATGCGGTCACAAATAATTGTTTTTGGCCCGGCTCGGACTCATATTAGCGAGGGTTAAAATAGTTTTGAGGACAACAGATAACAAAATAGATAACAGTTGAATAATACCGCCTCCTAAACCGTTTTTAATTAAATTAATAGACAAATAGTTTACACAATTTATGAAGTGATACTTCGGCATAAAAACAAAGCAAGTTTCGTTTGTTACAGATAAACGAACTATGGATAAACCTACATTCCCTTCGTCACTGCATGTGTAATAGTTTCTGCCACAATAGGAAATGGTTTTCCATGTTTTCGGGAATGGATTCTAGCTTATTTAATTTTTAAGGATTTGCGAAGCACAATCCTTTATGTCATCGCGTGTGTAAGATAGATAGATAGATAGATAGATAGATAGATAGATAGATAGATAGATAGATAGATAGATAGATAGATAGATAGATAGATAGATAGATAGATAGATAGAGAGATAGATAGATAGATAGATAGATAGATAGATAGATAGATAGATAGATAGATAGATAGATAGATAGATAGATAGATAGATAGATAGATAGATAGATAGATAGATAGATAGATAGATAGATATAAATAGATATATATAAAATTATAATTTTTACAAAATTATACATTGTTCTCCGGATTGTAATTACAATCCGGAGAACACTGTATAATTTTGTAAAAATTATAATTTAATAAAATGCCTGGATTACAAATCTTCAAATTATTAAATATATTTCAAACACTCATTAATAATTCATAAGCTTATTGGCAAATCATATATAGATAGATAGATATATATAAAATTATAATTTTTACCAAATTATACAGTGTTCTCCGGATTGTAATTACAATCCGGAGAACACTGTATAATTTTGTAAAAATTATAATTTAATAAAATGCCTGGATTACAAATCTTCAAATTATTAAATATATTTCAAACACTCATTAATAATTCATAAGCTTATTGCATGGCAAATCATATCAACCATAATATGTCTACGTGCAGTGGCATTAAACCTGGCAAATCATATCAACCATAATATGTCTACGTGCAGTGGCATTAAACCTGATAAAACGCTCCTAATTAGTATTCTTTATATAAAGAATACTAATAAGGCAGTACCTATTGTTGTCGTGTCCTCATTAGTATTTTTTATATAAAGAATACTAATAAGGCGGTATATCTATTGCCGAATTTGTAGTCGTGTTTGAAGCCGTTTAATAAACTCGCAGGTCGTGTTTTATTAGGTCTAAAGCCACTCGCGCTGCGCGCTCGTGTCTTTAAACCTAATAAAACACTCCTGCTCGTTTATTAAACAGTATATATATATATATATATATATATATATATATATATATATATATATATATATATATATATATATATATATATATATATTTTCGTAGACAATTTCTAAGTTTTGTCAACTTTTCACCCGCCTCCTCCCCAGTATTGCATCCATATGCTAGTTTTTTAGTTTGTATGTATAGTGATGGCGTAATCTAGCCCTCACCTTTACTGGGCAAAACTGTTTGAGCACATCTTTCATGTGCAATATATATTTATATATAATTAATTAATTTCTGTTATGAAAATTTAAAATAAAGCGCCTGGGGGATTGTTAACCCCCAAGCCAAATTAACCCAATCACGTGTCAGATTTATTATTCTGTCTACCGTGCAGCCCAGTAAACAGAGCTCAATCAATGCAACACTCAAGCTCCGATACATTTAGGATTGTTATGTCGGGTATAGGGTGGAAAGCATAAAGAGGATATTACACGACGGCGCGAAGATACGACTTTTATCTTCGAGTTGTGAAAACAATATATACGGACGGTCTCAAGCAAAAAATTGTGAAATTTCACACTCAAAAGCATGTCATGTCAAATTGTCACGTGATATATTATATATATATATATATATATATATATATATATATATATATATATATATATATATATATATATATATATATATATATATATATATATATTGAGTTGTGTAATTGTACTCTCCGTAATATGTTAAAGTGAAAATGTTCTCGAGTGTGTATGATATAATTTCCATACCCAGCGTAAGCAGAAAGATGAAGTCTGCCGCGGCTGGGTCTTGAACCCGCGACCTTCGAATTACTAGATTAACGCTCTACCATCTGAGCTACACGGTCAGGAAGACTGGAAATTATGAAATATATACTGAATGTCATAAACATACTCGTTTATATTAATTCAGCATCGAACAATACTAGTTCTGCAAGTGTTATGTTGAGTTGTGTAATTGTACACTCCGTAATATGTTAAGATGAAAATGTTCTAGAGTGTGTATTATATAATTCCCATACCCAGCGCAAGCAGAAAGATAAAGTCTGCCGCGGCTGGGTCTTGAACCCGCGACCTTCGAATTACTAGATCGACGCTCTACCGACTGAGCTACACGGTCAGACGGATTTAAGACTGGAAATTATGAAATATATACTGAATGTCATAAACATACTCGTTTATATTAATTCAGCATCGAACAATACTAGTTCTGCAAGTGTTATGTTAATTGTGTAATTGTACACTCTGTAATATGTTAAGATGAAAATGTTCTAGACTGTGTGTATTATATAATTTCCATACCCAGCCGCGGCAGACAACATCTTTCTGCTTGCGCTGGGTATGGAAATTATATAATACACACTCTAGAACATTTTCACCTTAACATATTACGGAGTGTACAATAACACAACTCAACATATATAAATATATATATATATATATATATATATATATATATATATATATATATATATATAAATATATATATATATATATATATATATATATATATATATATATATATATATATATATATATATATATATATAAATATAAACACTCCATGCAGGTAAATGCGCAACGTCCTGCAGGTACTTGCACACAACAGAAGAGAGGGAAATTTATTGTTGCTAAAGATCGAAATGGTGATGATGATGTCGCGGTTTGTATTCAACGTCATGGAAAATATCAATGGCATGTGATCAAAGGTACTAACATCGTCTTTATGTCTTATGTCTTTTTTTTTTATTTTCACACCATGCAGTATATAGAGAATAATACATGCATGGTGCGCGGAAATACCAGATTTATTTCGAGTGTTGAACATGATATCTCACGAGTGAGCGCAGCGAACGAGTGAGATATCATGTTCAACACGAGAAATAGATCTGGTATTTCCAAGCACCCATGTATTTTTCTGTTTATTATATAAACAAAATTCAGTGAAAACAATAACATGTCCGTGGCAATGCGTTTTACAACAAATGATATTTTTACACGTAAAAATATCGTTTTTTTACGTGTGTTTAAATACGATATTTCTCAGTGGCCAAAACCTCTATATAATACTTATGTTTATATAATAAAACTTTTCAATTCACAGTTTCTGCATGTTAACGGCGTTTGTAAAGATTAAATGAATATAATTTATCTAGATTCATGTTCCTTATATGAATCTGGGCCACATTGTTTATATATACTGTCCCTGATATCCTGCCTATGACCTGCCTTTTACCTTCGATTCGGCTGCTGCTCAGTTAGTTCGACCATTGGAACCACATCTCGGACTGTCGAAAGGTAAACGTTCTGGTATAATTTGTCGTTAATGTCGCTGATGCTGCTCTTTTTGTTTTTAAAGACCTTGAAGTGCTGACATATGAATCATGCAAACAAATATTGATGAGTCCAAGGTAAAATACATGCATATACACTTACACACATAAATGGCTTTTATTTCATCACGTTACTCCCTAGCCTCTCACAACTATTTTAAAATAAAAACCAAGCTGGTTTACAGAAGGGGCGTAACTGCTATACTAGTCCGTAACTATACTATTACATCCACAACTTCAAATACAATTATACCATTGTTCCACAACATGGACCCACTATATCTACAGCTTCGCTTGAGGAGATTCGTTTTTGGTTTTGGTAGAGATATAGATTATATCAGTTTCCATTAAATTGCGTAAATTCAGTATAAACAGAAAACTATAAGTTAAAAAATATTTCGTTTATCTTACAGCAACAATGGAAATGGTGTTTACCAAATCAGTGTCGGGAACAATAAATTTATCGACGTGTACTGTCAAATGACTAA